GGGGGGTGGGAGATGATGGAGTTGGGGGTGTTGACCACCTGGACCCCTGATGGAGGGACGGAGATACTGGGGGGATATACTGGGATGAACTGGGAGGGAACTGGGATGGTTTAGAGGGTAGGGAAGGTCTCCTAGATACCCAGGTCACCTATGGACTTTGGTTTTTGGGGGGTGGGAGATGATGGAGTTGGGGGTGTTGACCACCTGGACCCCTGATGGAGGGAGGGAGATACTCGGGGGATATACTGGGATGAACTGGGAGGGAACTGGGATGGTTTAGAGGAGGAACTGCCCCAGCCTCCTGGATTAGTTTCAGGTTGGTGGGTTGGAGTAGGGTGAGGACCACCTTGATGACTGGATCTTCTCCAAGTCTCCATCTTGGTCCATTGGATGGACCAGGAGAAGTCTCCTGAGATCCTCGGGTTCCTCCTAAGACATTGGGGTTCCTCCTCCTCCTGAGATCCTTGGGGTTCATCTTGAGATCCTTGAGTTCCTCCTGAGATCCTTGGGTGCCTCCTAAGACATTGGGGTTCCTCCCGAGATCCTTGGGGTTCCTCCCGAGATCCTTGAGTTCCTCCTGAGATCCTTGGGTGCCTCCTAAGACATTGGGGTTCCTCCTGAGATCCTTGGGTGCCTCCTGAGATCCTTGAGCTCCTCCTGAGATCCTTGAGTTCCTCCTAAGACATTGGGGTTCCTCCTGAGATCCTTGGGTGCCTCCTGAGATCCTTGAGCTCCTCCTGAGATCCTTGAGTTCCTCCTAAGACATTGGGGTTCCTCCTGAGATCCTTGGGTGCCTCCTGAGATCCTTGAGCTCCTCCTGAGATCCTTGAGTTCCTCCTAAGACATTGGGGTTCCTCCTGAGATCCTTGGGGTTCATCTTGAGATCCTTGAGTTCCTCCTGAGATCCTTGGGTGCCTCCTAAGACATTGGGGTTCCTCCCGAGATCCTTGGGGTTCCTCCCGAGATCCTTGGGGTTCCTCCTGAGATTCTTGGGGTTCCTCCTGAGACATTGGGGTTCCTCCCCCAAGAAGACCCACATCCCCTGACCTTGATCCTTCTCCCACCTTCTAGGTCAACATATCTCCCCAAGGTTGATTTCCCACCATGCTGGTCCTCACCTTCTACATCTTGACCTTCACGGTGGGTTTCCCAGCCAACATCTTCACCTTCGCCACCCTCTTGAGTAAAGCTCGGCACCGTGTCTCACCTTCCGACATCCTCCTCCTCAACCTGACGGCTGCTGACCTTCTCCTCCTCCTCTTCCTCCCATTCAAGATGGCCGAAGCAGCTGCTGGCATGACCTGGCCTTTACCCATCTTCCTCTGCGCCTGGGCCAACTTCTGCTTCTACTCCAGCATCTACCTCAGCAGCCTCTTCTTGGCCGCCCTCAGCGTTGAGCGGTACCTGGGTGTGGTCTTCCCTCTCTCCTACAAGGACCGGAAGAGACCGGCCAGGACAATGGCCGTCAGTGTTGTCCTCTGGCTCTTGGCTTGTTCTCATTGCTCCATTGTCTTCATAGCTCAATATCATGGTGGTGGGAACCAATCTATGGTCAACAGGTCCATGGTCATCAGCTCTGATGGTTCTACAGTCAATGGGTTGAAGCCTGGTGGTTCTAAGACATCCAACCTTGATGACTTTGATCCCAATGACTTGATGGTCACCACCTCTGATGGCTTCAACCCCAACAGGATCTCCAAACCTGAGTACTTCATCTCTGATGGCTTCATCCATGATGACTCCAAGATCTCCAACCCCAACAGCATCTCCAAACCTGAATACTTTATCACTGATGGCTTCATCCATGATGGCTCCAAGATCTCCAACGCTGATGGCTCCATCCATGATGGCTCCAGGATCTCCAACACTGATGGCTCCATCCATGATGGCTCCAAGATCTCCAACGCTGATGGCTTCATCCATGATGGTTTCAACCCCTATGGTACCAAGTTCTCCAGTCCACATGACTCCATCACTGGTGGCTTCAACCCCAGCAGTTCTAAGATATCCAACCCCAACATCATCGAGCCTGAAACCTTCAAGATCTCCAACCCCAAAGGCTCGATAGGCAACAGCTTTGTCCCCAACAGTGCCAAGACCACCGGTGGTGACATCTCCACTCTTGATAGCTCCAAGATCTCCAAGCTCAACACCTCCAAAATCTCCACCACCAACCATGCCCATATCCAGGACATCTCTGACCCCACCAACATCTTCCCAACCTCCAACATTCCCAGTTCCTCTGCTCCCAACGTCCGTGATGGCTCCAAAACCAACAACATCTACAAGTGCTACGATGACTTCTCTGAAGACCAACTGAGCTTTGTCCTCCCTCTACGTCTCGAGCTCTTCCTCGTCCTCTTTCTCCTGCCCTTCACCATCACCATCTTCTGCTACATCAACTTTGTGAGGGCTCTCCTCGCCCGGCCAAACATCCCACTGGAGAAGAAGCAACGAGCCGTGGGCTTGGCCGTGGCCACCATGATCAACTTTGGGGTCTGCTTCGCACCCTACAACATCTCACACGTGGTGGGGTTTGTAGAGAAGAAGAGTCCCAACTGGAGAGTCTACGTTTTGCTCCTCACCAGCCTCAACGCCGCTCTTGACCCCGTCATCTTCTACTTCTCCTCCACGGCGGTGCAGAGGGCCACAGCTGGGGTGGTGGTGGCCGTATGGAACAAGTTACGGGTTGTGGTGGGTTGGTGTTGTGGGGTGTGGTCTCCTACAACCTCCCAAGAAGAGTCTCAAGGTTCCTTGACATGAATGGTCTCACCATGATGGGGTGGATGTGGTTGGGTGGGGAGAAGATGGGGAGAAGGTTGGATCTAGGAAAGGTCTGAAGAGCTTTGGGCAACGGTGATGCTTCTAATGTCCTTGAGGTCATGGCCAACTTGGCCCCATGGATTTGTGATATGACATCAACCAACAAAGGGTCACAGGAACATCTCCACCAACTGTAGGTCATAGACAACTTGGACACATGGTTTGGGGCCATGACATCATCCACCAGGTTATGGTGATGTCTCCAAAGTCCATGAGGCCATAGACAACTTCAACCCATAGTTTGAAGTTTATGGTCTCCTTAGGTCTATGGCTTCCATATGTCCAAGAATCTGGTCTCCCCAGGTCCACGTGGTCTCCTTGATCTCCAATCTGTGTGTCTCCATCACCTCTGTGGGTCAACAGCTTCTGTAAGGCCAAGAGATCCATGGGTTAGTGACCTCTATGGGTCAGCAGCCTCCATGCAACCAAGATAGGTGTTGGTTGGTGGTCTCCATGGGTCAATATCCTGCGTGGGTTGATGTTCTTCATGGTTTGGTGTCCTCCATGAAGCCATGTCCTCCATGAAGCCATGTCCTCCATGAGGTGGTCTCCCCATCTTTCTGCTCTTCCCCCAGACTCTCCTGCTTCAAACATGAGTTATTTATTCCAAACCGTGGTCCAAGAGTGGTCAATGTCGAAGCAGGGGGAGATATGGACACCTGGGTGTCTTGGTGGTGGGGTGGGGGGATGGACATACTGGGACTCCTGGGTCAGCTGGTGGGAAGAGACTTGGAGATACCGAGATGATGATGGTGGTGGTCGTGGTGGTGATGGTGGTCGTGGTGGTGATG